CCATGTTCCCTGCGTCCATGTTCCCTGCGTCCATGTTCCCTGCGTCCATGTTCCCTGCATCCATGTTCCCTGCACCCATGTTCCCTGCGTCCATGACCACCCTTCCCATTATCTCCCACTTGGGCTTTCTGTCCCAGCTCAGGTGTTTACTGTTCTCTTTCATGTCTTTATACACGTGCAACAAATATAAGGACCCAGAAATAAGATGAATTATACTTCAGAGAAATGGAGCCAGGCTTTCATAACCTGCAGTTTGCTACTTTTGTTTAGCGTTGTTTTAAGTTTGTCTGCAGCAGAATACAAAGCTCTGATTCGTTCAAGTGTCCTCGAGGACACTTAGACTTCTTTTTTGCTGATGCAAATGACGCTGAAACAAACATTTTCTGGAAAAATCTTTGGTTATGTCTAGAAATTCCTTCTATGTTCCACAGTTAGGCCCGACAGTCACGTCTGTCTATAGTTTCCTGGGTGCCATGCTTCCCATCGGTCAGCACACACACGCCACAGCAGGAAAGCTAACTGACTGTTCACCCGTGCCAACTCTGGGTATCCTCAGAACTAACATTTGCCAGTTTTCTGTGTCAAAGGAGGTGTCTCACTGAATTTTTTTCTTTTTTGTCACCTTGCTGGTTTCGTTTTGTTTGAAACAGGGTCTCACTATGTAGCCTTGGCTGACTCGGAACTCATAAAGATCCATCTGCCTCTGGAATGCTGGTATTAAAGGCATGTACTACCATGCCCGGCTCACCCTCCTGCTTTATCAACCATTTGTTTGAGAGGTTTCTAACCCATATCAGTTAACAGAGCCAATATTTTTACTTCTTTGAAAGCCAAGCAGAACCAGCACTTTCGGCAGAACCTTGGGGAATGAGTGTTAGCAGAGACATACATTCCTCCTGGGTTTTCCCACTTACTCTTTGCCTCCTCCTCTCCACCCTGTGCCGGTTAACCTCAATTGTGAATTTGATGAGCTCTAGACTCTCCCAGGAGCCAGGCCTCCAGGTGTGCCTGTGGGGGATTATTTTGATTAGGTCACCTGAAGGGGGCTGGACGGCCCACTCTGGGCAGAACCATTCACGAGGTATAAAGAGGAGAAAATGGACTGAGCACAGCCATTGCTTTCTGCTTTTTGATTGTGAACGCAACTTGCTGCCTCATTCCTGCTTCTGTAAGGCCCACCCCTCCGGGATGGACTGGAACCTCAGATACTGAGTCAAACCCTTCCTCTCTTAAGCTGCTCTTGTCAATGTTCAGTCTCAAACCTGGGACAAATGGCGGAGGTGCTTATTTAACATATCAAAGTGGACCTGGCTGCCAGGTTCTCCTGGCATCCCTCAGTCCCTACCTGTTACAGAGGAGGGCTGGCATACCCCGCCCTCTACCCCCACTCCAACTCTCCAGCCCAGGGGCTAGCTGCCCTTCCCACAGAGGCTCTTCCCTATGGAATCCAGCCATTCTGGTTACCTGCCCCTTTCACCTTTTGCCTAGGAAACTGCACCTGGTTCTATCTTCTCCCTGTTCCCTCCTCTTTTCCCTCTGCTCACATGGCTCGGGGTCACGTCCACATCCACTCTCCCAGGTGATCCGGCCTCTGGCTATGTTCTCCCTTTTATCTACAATAAACTTTCTCCTCCATACCTAAGAGCAGTCATGGCCTTTCTATTTATTTATTTTTTTCATTCAGTCAGGGTATTTTATCAGTGTCAGGAAAGGCAATAATGACAATGTCCTTCCATTAAAACAAAAACAAAACAACCCCCCCCCACACACACACACACAAATTCCAGCATTTTGGAGGTGGAAAGCAGAGAATCAAGAGTTCAAGGCCAGCCTGTGGGATATGGGAGATCCTGTCTCAAACAAACAATAAAAATTATAAGTTAGTCGGATGGTGGTGGCACACATCTTTAATCCTAGCACTCGTGAGGTAGAGACAGGAAGATTTCTACAGAGTGAGTTCCAGGAGAGAGAGAGAACAAGAATCACAAGTAGCGTACAAACGCAGCACACAACACACTAGGGTTCGGAATGAATAGCAAAGTGGGAGAAGAAAAGACAAAAAAGCTGGGAGCAGTGTTAGCATACAAAATCTGTGCCCTACAGCTGTGTGTGACAAACCCGTAGAGACTGCTAGGGAAATGTGGGCCCTAACAGATACACAGAGTCTGAAAGACAAGAGCAAAGCAGCTGCCCTGGAGAAACACAGAGTTTCCTGGCACTGAGACCAAGAGAAAGTGTTCCCGTGAGTCACTCTTCAGGGGACACAGTGTGATGCCGACTCAACTTCATACCACGCTTTCCATGTTGTTCACAGAAGCGGTAGGCTCCGCTGCCAGGAGGGCTGGACACTGACTTTCCCTTTGTGATACCCCAAGGAATGTGTTGGAACAGATGGGGTTTGGCTTCAGCGTGAGTGTGTCCTGAGGTCCGGTCCTCAGGACTGGGGAAGAGTGCAGCCTCTTGTGGTTCTGCTTCCTGGGAGTGTCTGACCTCTTTGAAGAAGCTGCTTGCCCTGGTGAAGGCTCCCATTTAACCAACACTAGACCAACCCTTAACCATTTCAAAGCCAAGATCATGCCACTTCTATTTAGTTGCTGAAGTTATCCGCTACCTCGAGTTGTGACAGGCATATGCTGTGCTCCCTAACCCAGCCACAGCCTCTCTTCATCTCGTACTCAATCACAGAAGCCCCTGGGCTCCATAGGTGACTCTCAAAGCAGAAAAGCAGGGTCTGATGGCCCCAGAGGCAGCAGCAGGCCCTCTATTCCAGTCGCCGGTGGCAGACAGAGCCTCTTACACTTAGTCCTTACCTCCCTCAGCCCCTACCCTGCCTCCAGAATCAGGCACCAGGCCTGTACCTGACTCCCAAGCATGCAGGCTGGGAAGTCGTCACACCTGCAAGTCTCCACTTCCTTTTCTATGACGTAAGTAAAAGTCATTCCAGCCCTGCCTTGCAGAGTTGCTTTAATGTCTCAGCTAGGAAAATGTCCCAGAAAGCACTTTGACATCTAGGATCTGGTGCTGCAAAGAACCCCCTCCTTACCCTGGCTGCACGTCCAAATGCCCCCTCCTCACCCTGGCTGCATGTCCAATTGAGCTCAGTTTCCAGGGCAGTTCATAACTGCCTGTGACCCCACCTCTGGGGAATTCAGGGCCCTTTTGTAGTCCACACACACACACACACATACACACACGACAGACACAAATTACACAGATGTGTATAAATTTCTTTAAAAAAAGATAAAAAGAGGGCTGGAGAGATGGCTCAGCGGTTAAGAACATTGGGTGTTCTTCCAATAGGACCTGGGTTCAATTCCCAGCACCCACATGGCAGCTCACAACTGTCTGTAACTCCAGTTCCAGGGGATCTGACACCTTCACACCAACGTACATAAAGTTAAATAAAGTTAAAAAAAAAAAAAGAAAAGAAAATTGCTTAACCAAACTTAAGCTTCCATAACTGAAATGTGGAGATGCTGTTATTTTTCACAAACAGCAAAGTTAAAACGAGGTGCTCTTTGTAAAGAACCTAACTGGAGCCCAGTGCTGTGTGGGTGTGAGCAGCAACTCTCCTGGAGTTGGAAGAAAGTTCCCTTTAAAGCCCGAGTGTGGCTAGGCCAGATGGGAGAACCTCTCAACTCCCGTCCCCACCTGCGCAGAAGTCCCTTTCACTGTGGAAGCTGCTCAGGTGGGCGAGGCCTGAGAAGGGTGCTACAGAGGCGACCTGGTGATTTACTGTGGCCTAAAGCAAGCAAAGTGTCTCACAGAAGGGCTATCCCTGGTGACTATTACAGCCCCTCGGTGCCTCAGCGTCGCCTCCTACTCCAAAGTGTATCCCGGGACCCTCTGTAGGTCTCTGGCCACTGAGCCTTTCTCCTCTGAGTTCCCCTTCCCTGTTCCTTTTAAAAATCATGTTCCCTGTGTTTGGAGGTTTGGAGTCCTTCAGTCACTTCGAGAGATCAGGCAAGCTTTCTCACCCTGACCTCTTCTACAAGATGAGAACTGGAGCAGATGGACTCCAAAGTCCTCCTTCGTTCTAAGTTCCACAGTGTTTTCTGACTTTCCCCTTAGCCTTCCCCCATCTATTAATGTTCTTCATCAATCCAGACTGGGGTGTGTCTTGGACACCACTTGCTTGGTTGTGCAAGGCCCTAGTTGGATTCCCAAGCACCACGAGAACAAATGTCAGGGCTCTCCCCCACCCACAACCACTGCCATCCTCCTGCCTCTGTGCAGAAGCTGATGGAATGCCTTTCTGCTTTGAAGCCAGGCAAGACCTCTCAAAATCCTAGAGTGAGTGTCTCAAATCCCCGTCCCTCAGGGCCCTGCAGCCTATAGCATCTTGCTGTCCTACTATGTGCTCTTCTTGTTTGACCTGGAATCACCCAGTCAGGATCAACGGTCCTGGAATGGCGGCCAACACAGACTCACTGAGGTGTGTTGACAATCTGCTGTATAAAATAACCATCCTGGATGTGCAGGCCTGAGGCAGACTTTTATCTATTTATTTATTTATTTATTTTTTAACATGATCTAATTTATAACCTCTCTCTGGAAGAAATGCCTGACAAAATGCTTAAGCAATTCCCCAAAGAACTTTAATGGAATGAGGTCTGGATCTGGGAAGCCAGCCACCTCCCAGCTCGGGCCAGACTCTGGTGGCTGTTTAGCTGCTCTCTGTGACAGTCATCTGATGGTCTTTCCTTCCCCCTAGTAAAAATGTCCACACCAAAATCTATATTTAAGTGGTCTGCCTCTGGGCCATTTTGTATATAACGGGACAGTAATAAAACCTTGGCATGTGCTCATGGACTGTCTGCAAGTGCTTCAGCTTTGGATTTTGAAGATGAGATGGGATATGAGGAACACCAATACCATCTTCCTTATAAGCACAAGAGGCAGAATGAGGATGAACACGGGTGCTAGCTGAACACAATTTTGCCAACTTGAAATATTTTCTATTTTTTTTGGACACAAGATCTCTTGTTGTCCAGGCTGGCCTCAAACTAAGTAGCTGAGGATGACCTTGAACTCCTGACCTTCTTGCCTCTCCATCTCTGATGTGTTGAAATTACATTTGTGCACCACTGTGCCTGGCTGAAACTTTTAAAAATGTATTCAAAAATTGTGAGCTAATTGGAATATTTACGTAAACCTTTAAGTACGTGATTTCAGATGTCCGGGTATACGCTTCTTTGTCTTTTCTGGGCTGAGAAACAAAACCATGGCCTTGAACATAGCAGCCAGGGGCTCAATCATTGAGCTGTGTCTCAAGTTCTGTACTTGTATTTTTAGTCTTTTCAGATGCCAAATCTTACCACACTTTTGCTTTTTGTGAAAGTTTTTAGCCTTTTGCTCTGTGATTGACCCTACTTATTTTTCAATTAAAATTTCAATTTTAATTAAATTAATTCAATTTTGTCTGTTGCGGGGCTATGTCTGTGCAGGTGCGTGCGCAACCAGAGGACAATCTCAATTGCTTCTGCTCTTTCCCTAGCCTGCAGTGCACTGAGCTAGGCTGACTGACCAAAAGTACCAGGGATCCACCGATCTCTGCCTCCTCATTACAATTTTTTTTTGTAGTTATTTTGCCTTTGTTTTTTTGTTGTTCAAGACAGGGTGTAGCCCTGGCTGTCCCGGAACTTGTTTTACAGACCAGGCTGGCCTTGAACTCACACAGATCTGCCTGCCTCTGCCTCCCAAGAGCTAGGATTAAAGGCATGTGCAACCACCAACCGGTACAAAATTTTATGAAGTATTTAAAATATGCCAATATAGGACATTCCTCAGATGGAACTCTTCCCATCCGAAGGAATTTTTATTTCCCTTCTTATATTTATTCTGCTGAAAATTATGAAAATAAAAATTCATATACACTTGGGCAGTGAGATGGTTCAGTGGTTCCAAAACTCCTGCCACCTTGATAGTGCAAACCTGAAGACCTGAGTCAGATTCCTGGATCTGTGTAAAGGTGGGAAGAAAGAAATGACGCCATAAAATTGCCCTCTGAGCTCTACATGTACATATCGTATGCTAACAGCAAATTTAAAAAATTTAAATTTCATTCATACAAATTTACACTAGCAATGTCCAGAAAATAAAAATACTAACCAACTGACCACATTTAAGGTGTTTATGACCTTAGCTATCCTCAGTGACTTGCCCCAGAGATCTAAGGCTCACAAGGTAAAAACTTAACAGACTCAAATCTTGGCCAAAGATTTCCTTGGAGTCAGGCAGTGACTTGTTGACCTGTCTAAAGACTCACAGAGGTGGCTGCTTGATTTGGGGGTAGAGGGTCCTAGGAGGAAGACTCAGAGAGAATGCCAGGCATGTAGGAGGCCAGAAGAAAGGTAGCGTGTGGGGAGACATCAGTAAAGCAGTGAGGTAGAGCCTTGTGAGGGAAGGGGACAGGAGGCAGGAGGCAGCTGTCGTCTGAACACTGGAGCGGAGGTAGCAGTCACAAGACTCAAGCAATGGTGACATGACCCAGATGTGTCATATACAGCTCTAAGCTGTGGACACAGGATCCCCATGGACCCAAGAGGATGGGGCCCCAAGTCCCACCTGGATGACTTATGACTTACTCTTTGCTGAAAACCTGCCCCTGGTCCCCTCTTGCCCAGACTGTGTTCCATCTTGGTCCCTCGGCAGCAGTAGGCAGGTGGGTGTCAGACCTCTGGCAGGGGAAACTGCTATGGTCTTAAGGCTGGTGCAATGAGAAGGCCCCCAGCCACGGCCCACCTACAGAACTGCTGGGGACACACCGTCTCCTCCAACCCTGCCCAGAACTCAGCTGACCACAGAGTCCCTGGACACAGAATGAGGGCATGTAGGGCTTTATTGGCTCCATTCAGGCATGTGGAGTCAGTGTGGGGCTTGTGGTGGCTGCTCCTGCAATCTGCCTCATGTCTTCTCTCGTGGGTCTTCAGGGCCCTCGGGCTGTTGAAGCTGCATCCCTTCCCTCCTTCACTCATGGGGGCCAGAAGTAGGAATTTGGGTGGCAGCCTCTCACCCTGGACCAAGTAAGTTTCCCCATAGAAGAGAAAACAGGCCTGTGTATGTGAGCCGGCCCTGCTGGGGGAGGGGACACACGGTTAAGTGGCTTCAAGAGTCATAGATTTGGTGGCTGCGGTTGGGCAGACTATGGCTCTGATGGCTTGCGTGACCTGGTTGACCCTGGTGGCTCTGGTGGTTTGAGTGGCCCAGATGACTCTGGTGACTCTGGTGGTTTGAGTGACCCGGATGACCCTGGTGGTTTGAGTAGCCCGGATGACCCTGGTGGTTTGAGTGGCCCGGATGACCCTGGTGGCTCTGATGGCTCTGGTGGCTCTGGTGGCTCTGGTGGCTCTGGTGGTTTGAGTGGCCCAGATGACTCTGGTGGCTCTGGTGACTTGAGTAACTTGGATGACCCTGGTGGCTCAAGTGATCTGGGTGATGACCCTGGTGGCTGGAGTAAACAGGATGGCTCTGGTTACTTTGGTGGTTTGAATGCCTATGCTGGCTCTGGTGCCCATGGCGACTCTGGTTATAGATGGTGTGAGTTTGGTTGGAACCAGCTATGGCAGTTTCCCGCTGAGTGAGGAAATTCCCTTTCAGCTTTATCTCCACCTCCTCCAGAGCCTTCAGCTCTTCTGGGCTGATGTCCCTGGATTCCACGTGGCCTATATGCTGGTAGGCCGTGGCACGTTGCAGCATGGAATTAGCCAGGTGATGCCCCTTGGCATCAATCTCCTTGGCACAAGCAGCCACAGCGGTCCATGTTTCATCCTCCATTGACGAGGGCTTTCTTGACTCCCTCTGGGTCTCTTTGGTCACTGAGGTCCCAGATACTTTCTGTTTGCTGGCAAAGGAATCTCGGTGCAGAGCCATGCCCCCTTCTCCATGTTTGGAGGTGAGAGTCTCCATGTGGAAGGTGGTGTTGGCTTCCCCAAGCCTATTTTCATACGAGGGGCCATTGTTGCTGGCATAGCGGTGGGTGGGCAACCTCTCTTCGGAGAGGCGGCTAAAGTGAGATTTGATCCAGCTGTCATTTGATCGGCAGGATTCGCGAGACTTGTCTCGTGCACACTCTGTCTTCCTTTTCCTCCTCTGAGCCCACAGCATGAGGCCTCCACCTCCTAGCACAAGGACAGTCCCCAGCACCACCTTGCATGATGGTTGCTGGAGGAACTCTAAGAAGTTCTCCAGGGCCCTAGGCCTCACACAGAGAGCTAAGAGCGCGCTGGGAGTGGTGGAGCCCAGATGGTATGACTCATGCTTGAATGGGCCGGAGCCCTGCCTGTGTCTGGCAGGCAGGCCCCTGCCTCACCCTCCTTAATATGCCCTCTGACACCTCAGCAATGAACCCCATTGTGAGGAAGGCAGCCAGGGGGGATGGGGTGAGGTAAGGCCACCTTAGCACTCAGACATAGTCTGGCAAGCCTCATGTAAGGTTTGGGTCTTGTCCCCTGCCCTCAGCAGGAAAAGCGTCATTTAGCTGTGAGATGTTTCTGCCTTCTGCTGGCTGCACAGACTTCTGCTCTGTCCTGCTTACTTTCTTTGGTTTCCCTCGTCGTTCCTCCTCTAGTGGCCCCCAGAATGCAGAGGACAGTGAATCAGTTTGACCATGACAAACTGGGACCCCCTTAGCTGAACTGGCATCCATTCCTGACCAATAACTCCCCAAGAAAACCATCCCTGCGGTCAACACAACATATACTGTCTCTTACAGCCCTAACTCCATTACAGGGTAGAGTCTAGAAACTAAAAGGCCCAGGAAGGAGCCCATTCTGGAACAATATGAGGTCACAATTGAGAGCAAAGCAGTGGGCTGAGAAGGCAGAGTAGATAGGACAAACGTCAGGCCCCAAGGCCTGGGGTCATTCCACAGTAAGCTATGTCTTTCCTGAGTGATAGCCTGAAGATCCAAATTGTTTGCTTGTTTGTTTGTTTTTCGAAACAGGGTTTCTATGTAACAGCCTTGGCTGTCCTGGAGCTCACTTTGTAAAGTAGGCTGGCCTCAAACTCAAGAGATCCACCTGCTTCTGCCTCCCAAGTGCTGGGATTAAAGGTGTGTTCTGCTATGCCCAGCTAAGATTCAAATTTTTTGCCCCTGGTAAACAAGCATCATGAAATTTTGAGCAGATGGCCTGGCCAGTCAGGCTTGCCACAGATCCCTGTACAATCCTGAGTTATTCCTATGTATTTTGGGGCTAGAAACAGGTCTGGGCTACTGCTGTTTACCTCAAAGCATGTAGCACCCTCAGAAAGGCCAAATGGTCCTTATAAAAAGTTGTGTTATTTGGACCTGGAGCAATGGCTCAGTGGTTAAGAGTACTGGCTGCTCTTCTAGAGGTCTTTTTTTTTAAAAAAAAAAAAAACAAAAACACATTTATTTATTATGTATACAATATTATTGTCTACTTGTATACCTACAGACCAGAAGAGGGCACCAGACCTCATTACAGATAATTGTGAGCCACCATGTGGTTGCTGGGATTTGAACTCAGGACCTTTGGAAGAGCAGGCAATGCTCTTAACCACTGAGCCATCTCTCCAGTCCCCTTCCAGAGGTCTTGAATTCAATTCCCAGCATCTACATGGTGACTTATAACCATCTGGAATGGGATCTGTCACCCTCTTCTGGTCTGCAGGCAAACATGTAGACAGAGCACTCATATACAGAAAATAAATGTTAAAAAAAAAAAAGCTGTGATATTTGAGGGGCTGGAGAGATGGGTCAAGAGCACTTGCTACTCTTTAGAGGGCTTGAGTTCCGTCAAGCTCAGTCTCTGTAATGCCAGCTCCAATGGATCTGACATCTTTGTCCTCCTCTGGTTTCTTTACTCAACATGCCCATGTCCATGTGCTGTGGGACAATGGTCCTGTACCTTGTAAAGTTTTATCACTTGTACTGTTTTAATAAAATGCTGATTGGTCAGTAATCAGGCAGGAAGTAGAGGCGGGGTGACCAGAACAGGAGAATTCTGGGAAAAGGAAAGGTTCAGTCTGTAGTCGTCATCCAGACACAGGAAGATGAGACTGACTCGCTGATAAAAGGTACCAAGCCACGTAGTTGACACAGACAAGAATTATGGGTTAATGTAGGATGTAAGAGTTAATAAGAAGCCTGAGCTAATAGACCAACCAGGTGTTTTTTTGTTTTGTTTTGTTTTTTTGTTTTTTTTATTTTCGAGACAGGGTTTCTCTGTAGTCCTGAAACTAGCTCTTGTAGACCAGGCTGGCCTCGAACTCAGAGCTCCGCCTGTCTCTGCCTCCCGAGTGCTGGGATTAAAGGTGTGCACCACCACCGCCTAGCCGATCAACCAGTTTATAATTAATGTAGACCTCTGTGTATTTCTTTGAGACTGAACAGCTGTGGGACCGTACGGGACAGAAATTACTGTCAACATCCATGTGTAGGCACGCATACCTACATAACATTACAAAGCAAATCTTTTTTGAAAAGTTGATACCGGGCATGGTGGCACACACCTTTAATCCCAGCATTCAGAAGGTAAAGGTAGGCATATCTCTGCAGATTCAAGACCAGCCTGGTCTGCAATGAGTTCCAGGACATCCAGGGCTGTGTAGAAAGAGTCTCAACCTCTCATCTCCTTCAAAAAATTATTTGAAATATTTTCTTTAATCAAGTAATAATTTTTTTCAGAAGAAACCATAGTCCACTTTGCATGTGGTAGGAATAAGGTACAGCTGAAAGCTGTAGGGAACCTCAGCTCTCCAGCCTTGGTGAACTACCCTGGGAATTTCTACTAACCTCACTGGAAATAACAACTCAAAGTTCACCTGTGAGGCTGTTTACTGGCGTGAGTTCAGGGTCACTGGCCCTTCCAAACAACCCCTCCCTCTAGGCTTTGGCTATGACCTCCAAAAGTTTTTTTTTATTAAAAAATTTAAATTAGTCTGGCTGGGCAGTGGTGGCACAAGCCTTTATTCCTTGCACTTAGAAGGCAGAGACAGGCGGATCTTTGTGAGTTCGAGGCCAGCCTGATCTACAAGAACTAGTTCCAGGTCAGGCTCCAAAGCTGCAGAGAAACCCTGTCTCAAAAAGCCAAAAGAAAAAAAAAATTAAATTAGTCTGGGCAGTGGTGGTGCACACCTTTAATCCCAGCACTCAGGAGGCAAACACAGGTGGATCTCTGTGAGTCTGAGGCCAGCCTAGTCTACAGAGTGAGTTCCAGGACAGCTAAAGCTACACAGAGAAACCCTGTTCTGAAAAAAATAATTATAGTATAATTAGATTACTTTCCTTGTTCCTTTCCTATGTCTCCCTGATTGATGGCCTCTTTTTCTTTATTGTTACATGTATATGCATAAATATAATAAATACAACCTGCTGACTCCATGTGTGCGTGATTTCTGGGCTTACCACTTTGTACTGGATAACTAATTAGGGGTTCATCCCTAGGTGAAGCTAATTCTCCCTCTCTCAGCAGTCAGTAGTTAGCTGTAGTTCTCTGTCTAGGGATGGGACCCCTATGAGATTTTCCTCTTCCAAGTTAGCATGTCTATCAATACTGTCATTGTTCAGGTTTTGTTTAGGCACACCAAATTTGGTTATAACTTTGATTTTACTTAATAAAAATTTGAAGCTTAAGATTACAGAATCCTTACTCAAGGCCCATTTTTATAACCATAAAACACAGGTATTTTGCACAAGACAGGAAACCAGAGGAGCAGACCCTGTGCTTGCTGGTACTAACACTGCTTCTGATTTTCTTAGCCTCAAAGAGCTGCTTCTGTGTAAGATTGACAAGCTTTTGCAGTTTGTAATTTGTTGGAGGAGGGGACATTGTCTTCTAGAATTGCTTCTGGCTGTCATGGGGGTGGTGTTCTTTCTACGGGATCCTGTGGAAGTGGAGTGGTGGTTGAATTTCACCACCAAGATTACTGTCTGGTTTGGTTGCAGATGGTTTTTGAGTGTTCAGTATGATGTGGGAATTCCGACATGGGATTCCCCTCTGTATGCTGTGATTACCATTAATGAATAAAAAAAAACTGCCTTGGCCTGTTGATAGGGCAGAACTTAGGTAGAAACACTAAATGGCATGCTGAAAGAAAAGAGGCAGAGTCAGAGAGAAGCCATGTAGCCCCCTCCGGAGACAGACACAGGATGGATTTTTACCCAGTAAGCCACAGCCACATGGCGATACACAGATTAATAGAAATGGGTTAAGATGTAAGAATTAGCCAATAAGAAGCTAGAGCTAATGGGCCAAGGAGTGATTTAATTAATACAGTTTCTGTGTGATTATTTTGGCGTTAAGTGGCCAGGAACCAACAAGCGGCCTCCTCCAATAGTAATTAATTTATCTACCAAAGATATCCCTTATCTGCAAATTAAGAGTCACTTTCTCTTTTCAAAATAGCTAATGGTGGTTGGTTTGTTTTGCTGACCACCAAAGGCAGCCATTGCACATCTTTTAATTCTTCCTTATCATTTCTATTTTCTACTTCAGTGGAACTATTTTGGTTTAGAACTGACATGTACTTCCTATACTGCAAACAGAAGCTAAAGGTTTGGCATACTCTTTTCATTATTTATTGTGCGTTTTTGTTTGTTTGATTGTTGGTTTTTTGAGACAGGTTGTCTCTGTGAGACCGGGTTTCTCTGTGTAGCCTTGGCTGTCCTGGACCTCATTCTGTAGGCCAGGCTGGCCTTGAACTCATAGAGATCTGTCTGCTTCTACCTCCCAAGTATTATGATTATAGGCATGTGCCACCACTACCTGGCTATTGTGGGTTTTTATATGATATTTGATAACATTAACTAATTTGTCTTAAAAAATAACAATTTTACATTTTTGGGAGGGCACTTGTCTCTTGGAATGCATGTGGAGGTCAGGAGATGACTTGCAGAAGTTGGTTCTCTTCTTCCACCTCGCATAGGTTCTGGAGACTGAATTTAAGTCATCAGGCTTGGCGGCAAGAACCTTTACCCAACGTGTAATCTCGCCAGGCCCTTAACTTTTATTTTAAAAGAATACTGTTCATTTAAATAATCAACACAGATCAGCAATACTTAAAAAATAAAAACAAACCAGCTGGGCAGTGGTGGTGCCCATAGGCCATTTATCCCTTAACAACACTCATCATTATCCGAGTACTGAGCTGGGGCGGGGGACTCAGCTGGGCCACTAGTCACTGTCACAAAGCAGCTTTGCCGCAAAGTCACTTGCACTTTAAATAATCCAGCACTTGGGGCAGAGGCAGGTAGATCTCTCTGAGTTCGAGGCCAGCCTGGCTTACAGAGTGAGTTCCAGGACAGCCAGGGATACCCTGAAAAACTCTGTCTCAAAAAAAACAAAACAAAACAAAACAAAACCAAAAAAAACCCAGAAAACTCCACAGCTTCAGGCACACCTTCTAGAATATACTGTGCTCGCTCACAGAAGCACCAAGGGCAGGTTCCATCTCTTTAGAGGACTTGCTGCCCACACTCATGCAAAGTACCACGTGACAGCTGTCTCCATCTGTCCCTGAGCACTGGACTGCATAGTCTATTCCGGAAGGCAAGAGAAACAGATTTAATGTTGTAGTTGCATGCTGGAGCCATGACGGGACTCCCTGACCCTATGTCCTCTATGCCAGCTGCATGGTTGACTATCTTGGGAGAATTATGTTGAGCTGCCTCAGAGCCTGAGGGCTTAGTTCCTGACCTCTAAAGCCCTCAAATTTCTGGTATGAGGTGAATAGAGAACTCAAATACCATCAGGAACCCATAAACCAAATCCCCCCAAAATTGTCCAGGGTACCCCATGCTGGTTGCAGCAGTTAGGGAGGCAAAAGGGAAAAACCCAAAGACAATTCTGGAGGTCTCTATGAACTCCTGGATGGAAGAAACAATGTATACAAAAGCCAGTCCTCCGGCCCCTGCCCTAGAGTGTCTTGGTCCTTCAGCTGAAACGGAGTGTTCTCTCTGAAGCTAATGACTGTCATGCTTTGCTTTAAGGAAATCACGTCTCAGCCCAACTCCAGGCCACCATAAGCAAGCTCCAGACACACTGGCCCTGTTCAGTGTGTGCACACCCATAGGCCATTTGTCCCTTGACAAACACTCATCATCATCATCTGAGTACTGAGCTGGGGCGGGGGACCCAGCTGGGCCACTAGTCACTGTCACAAAGCAGCTCTGCCGCAAAGTCACTTGCACTTTTAATAATCATCGTTCCAGGAATCAATACCTTGAAATGTGCAGCACTCTAGAATTTATACCATGCTTTCACTCACATTCTTCCAGATTCTTCTTCTGTCTACCCCACGACCTGGGCATTAACACTCCCATGTGTCATATGGAGAAGCAGGCAAAGAGTATCCCATAGGAAAGGCCATTGACAAAGCTGTGATTGGAAACCAGAGGCCACTATCCTAGCTGCTAGCCTGTGCCTCCTCAGTCAGAGCCACACCAAACAGCATTTGTTGGAACAGTCTTAGAGGGGATCCAGCAACTTAGGAGGTGTTAGAATAAGCGGACAGAATGGAGTATGTAATCAGCTGGTTCAAACATCAGATGCTATGTGTTAGCTGAGTGGCTTTGGACAGTGATCATATCTCTCAGACCCGTGTGTAAAACAAGAGGTGAAACAGAGGGGCCAGCACATTGAATAGTTCTGACAGGCAGGCTTGGGAGGAAAGGAGGCGGATACTGGCTGCTCTGCCCTGTGAGCGGGCCAATGGCCTTCCCATCAGCAGAGGACCTGGTAGACAAGGACGTCCTCATTCACTGACCCATGTGATCCCCCACAAAAACCCTGGGAGTAGAGAAGAAGGCGCCTCAGCTCTCCACAGCTGGGGAAACAAAGGCAGGTGAGGCTCTGTCCATGGTGCCAGACCTGTGTCCTGTCGTCTAGTCCCCGTACCCTCCTCCCCCCTCCCCCTTTCCCCCTTCCCAACTGCCCTCTTACCTCGGAAGGGGAAGGTGCCTAGTTTATTCAGGTTCTCTTCCAGTTTCCCATAGTCTACCTCCGCGGTGGCGGTGAAGGGGGTGGTCACAGCTGGGTAGATGCCGGCAATGTCTACCTTCTTCCCCTTCATATTCCTAGACAAGCCCCTGCTCAACCCCTGCCTCATAGAGGCCCAGATTTGGCGGCCTAGCATTTCTGCAGGAGGCCTGAGGCCCAGGCTGTCTACAGTCACAGGAGTTTGGACTCCTTTTTCCCCACTGTCAATGATCAACAGACCCAGTTAAAAATTCGTGGCCCCAACCCACAACTTGTGGATATGAGGGGGCGTGTAGCCTGGGGGCGGGCCCAGAGGCTTGACGCTGGGCTTCTTGCCAGCTGGGAAGAAGAAGCTGGAGAAATACCACAACTCTGGTCTGAAAGAGAGCTGGCTCCTGGGGTTTACACTAAAAAGTGTCTCGGACGGAGCTTGGGCCCTCTTCCCACAACCCCAAAGCCAAGAGCCAGCACCCCTACCCCAACACTCACAGCACAGTCCAGGCTGGTTTGAGTCTGATCGAACTGATTGGCTGAGCTGGCCTGGCCCCGCCCTACTGCAGCGGGGGTTGAACCGTGGTTCAAGAAGCAGCTGAGAAAAACCACGCCTCCTGTCTACCAGGTTCCTACCTTGTTAGCCCTCTCTGGGGGACACACACCTCCTTGGAACAGTCTTGGGGACTGAGGGGCAGAGAAAGAGTATACCACAGAGGGAACTATATCACAATCCTGGCCCTAGGGATGAGGGATGAAAAGCAGGATGATGGGACAAAGCAAGACCACAGGAGGGAGACTTCCTAGCTCAGGAGTCAAGGGACTCCACGTTCCCTTGTTTCCAAGTTCATACCCACTTTCCATTCCTGCGTGTTTGGAGCGCAAAGGGACGCAAAGACCACAAATACCAAAGACAGCATTTTATTGTGTTGAGTCTGTGGGTGTTCCTGCCAGGCTGGTTGCAAGCAGCTCATAGTGGGGGGACTATTGCCCAGCTTTTACTGGGCTGGTACTGGCTGGGGGGTCTCACGCCCACTCCCAGGCCTCTCCAGTCCGTTCTGTTCTGATTCTGGCTCAGGATGCTCCAGGGCATGCCGGGTGTCTGCTTGCCATAGTTGGACGAGGTCTGTAGGGGTCTTTCCTGCCTGGAGAAAATAGGAGGAGATTATTCAGGCTTCAGCAGCCCATCAGAAATTGCTCTCAGCTAAAACAGTGGTTCTCAACGGAAGGCAAATGGTCAAAAGTAAAGACATCTTGCATTTTACAACTAGAACTTGTGGGTGCTACTGATATCGAGTGGGCAGAGGCCTGGGATACTGCACAACCATCCTACAATGCACAGGAAAGTCCCTTCGTTATGAATTGTCCAACACCAAAGCCTGCAGTGCTGAGTGGAGACCAATCACGCCCTCTCCATGTGCTCCTGCCTTCCTCAGTGTCTCTTAGCCTTTTTTATGCCAGATGAATCTTTCTTTGCCCCTCTATAGCGATTGTTCTGTGGACCAAAAGATAGGCTTGGATCGGAGGACATCTATTCTCCAAAATCCCGAGGCCCACCACGAACCAACATGATGTGCTAGAATGGTCACAACGCCAACCAAGAACTTTGATTCTCTTCCAGCTGGACCTCCATAATTGGGCCTGGACACTGGGATCCCCTCTGTCCTATAGGGGGACCTTGCTTCTCTGAACTTGTGGTCTGGACCTTGACACGAAAGAGGGATCTGGGAAGGTGGTTAGGGTGGCATGGCCAAGAGCCAATGATACATGTACCGAGGCTGTGGCTGCCCCTAGGCTGTGGCTGCCCCAGTGCCTCTGCAGACCATCCAGTAAGCATTTGCAGCTTTAAGCGCTCACCCTTTCAGGCAGCCAGAGAAATCAACTCACCAGGTTCTTAGCCATCATGTCAGCCCCATGCAGGAGCAGCAGTTTGATGATTTTGTAGCGGTTGAGTCTCACGGCATCGTGTAGGGCACTGTCCCCTTCCTAGAGTCGGGGTCACACATGGCATGACCCTTGAGGTCAGTGGGTGAGTAGGGTTATAGGAGCCGGGCCTTGCTCAGAGGCTGTAGCCCTAGGGTCCTGTGGGGAAGGACTACTCACCCACGGCAGCCCGTGAGCTGCCCTTACACCCACGGTCGCTGAGCAGGGGAGGAGGCAAGCACTCACCCTGTCTTTGGCATTGATATCCAAGCCCAGGGAAAGAAAGTGTTCCACAATCTCCACGTGTCCAGTACGAACAGCTACATGCAGGGGAGTGCTCAGGAGCTATGTGAGGAGGAAGCAGGACTATTGGCAGTGGGCCTGGAATATGGTGTCCTGGGGTAGGGGACACCATATCTATCTTATCTCTAGCCTATTCCTACTCCCAAGTCTAAGCGTCAAGGCCTGAGCCTTGGACAGGAGACACTGGTACAACATGCCATTATCATTCCCAATGAGTTAAATAGACAGCTTTAAGTGCTGTGTCCTCTGGATAGCCTATCACGGTTCCCCTCTTGCCTAGCAGTGAGCTACTACTGTCCAACCCTCTTCTCTCTCTCTCTCTCTCTCTCTCTCTCTCTCTCTCTTTCTCTCTCTCTCTCTCTTTAAATAATACAGGTCCCACTATGTAGTCCAGGTGGCTGCAAACTCTCAGTTCCCCTGCCTATGCCTCCTGAGTGCTGCGATTGCAGAAGGACACTACTACGCCTCGGTTCTTCTTTAATTAATTGTCGAGTTTATTCATTGGGATGCTGAGGATTGAGCCCATGGTCCTGCACATGTCAAGCAAGGATGCCACTACTGAGTTACCCTCCCAGTCCATTCCTTTAAAAGTTTTTTTTTTAAATGAGACAAATTATCACTGTATAGACCAGGCTATCCTTGAACTTAGAAATCCTCCTGCCTCTGCCTCCTGAGTACTGGAATTAAAAGTGTGTACTACCAAGCCCAGCTTCTTTTTAATAATTATATCAGATGTCATTAATTGAGGAACGACTGATAGAGATGGCAAAGCTTCCTATGTTAAAAAGTAATTTATTTACAAACATTCCCTTCCTAACCTATGTAAGAACTCCACAAGTTTTACAACTGAAGAAGAGTGTTTGGAAGGTCAAGATTGCATGTAAATAAATAGATGGATAGAAGAATGATAGGTTAATAAGTAAATGAATAAATAATAAAGTGATGGATGGGCAGGTGAATGATGAAGGATGGCATAGATGTACAAATCCTGCATCCTCTCGGTGGACCATGCCTCCATGAGAGCAGGTCTTTTGTCTTTCTCGCCTCTCAGCACTTGCTCGCAAGCTCCCTGAAGGGCCTGAAGCTTCTCCACAGCCACGCTAGAAACCAGGCTAACCTACTGCTTACCTACCACATGAGCTTGCGTGCCATTTGCTGCACCCTGCCCCCCGCCCTGCAGCATCCCAATGTGTACTGCACTGAGTGCTGCAGCTTCACCTTGTCTCTCACATTGGTGTTGGCTCCTCGGCTTTGCAGGAGCCTCACCACCTCCAGGTGGCCTCCACGGCAGGCCCAGTGCATGGCTGTGCAGTCCAGCTGGAAGGGATGGATGGGACTTAATAGCAGAGCTGTTGGGAAGGAAGTTTCCTAGGGAAAGGATTGAAGCCAAGCAGGCAGAAGACAAAAAAAGAGAAAGGTACAAGGAGTAGGACAGACAGCCTAGAGCCAAACTAGTCCAAGCGAGAGTCACAGAGGCAACTCGGGGGGAGATGGGGCTTGCCCAATGTCACAGAACACACAAAGGTAGGGCCTACCCTTACTGGCAGCATTCTGGATAGGAAGTAGAATTCTACTGATACTAGATCGACCTCTTACCTCCCTCCCACCCAGTACCTGCCCTCTCACCCGATCTTGGAAGTCCACAGTGGCCCCATTCTCCAGAAGTTTCTCCAGTATCTCCATGTGACCCTCCAGGGAGGCTCGATGTAGCGCTGTCCGACGGAACTGCCACCAGAGAGACTGTCAGGCCTGAGTCCTAGACCTGAGTCTACATCCCACCAAACTGAGACCTAAGCCTTGCCCAAAATTGGTGCCCATGTGTTCTGTGTTCAGTCAGATCTTACTCAGACTGGCCTTGGAGCCCCACCCTATACTCCAGCCTTGTCATTCTTCCCCATGCAGCCAGCCATGTCTCTGTATAGCTGGTGCAACTGACTCTCCTGCTGGGCATGGCTATCCTGCCCTCACATGCTATGATGCTTGGTGATGACTTGCAGTTCATGTTCCAGGAGTTCATTGAGACCTCTATGCCAAGTTGCTCCCAGGTGACGCCTGAGTATAAGGGAGCATTGGCAAGCTCAACTCTTTCCTCTAGTGCTAGGCAGGACCCAGATGCACAGGTCACACCTGGTTACTGATTCAAGGAAGAAACAAACTTCCCTCCCTTAAGGCTACTTTCTGCTTTGGATTTGGGGAACCCTTGCACCATGATGCAAGTCTTTCTATATGCTAATGATCTGGTTATGGGCAGTCTTTCCTGGTCTTCCTCTTGTTTTTTTTTTTCTTCTTGTTTTGTACTCTTAGCTTATAGTAAATGGGAGAAAAAGATTAAGACCCTGGAGGTAAAAGAACAGAAAAGATGTAGACTACTAAAACACAGAGCAGGTCCAAGGGTGGGTGGCCACTGGTAGGCTTGGTCCCATGAGTGAGAGCAAGGAGCATCTTGAAAGTACCAAGAGGCAATTTCAGAGGAAAAAAGCATGACAGTTGACAGAAAAGTTTAAGAAATAGACAATAACCATAGTCGCACAACACTGTGATAGAATTAATGCCAGTCTAAATCAGCACGCTTAAAGTAATATATTTCACGTTATATATTTCCATAGGAGAATATTCAAAATAGTGGCTGGGCTATGACTCAGCGGTAGAGCACTTGCCTAGCACACACAATGTCCTGGCACTGCAAATAACAATATTAATAAACAATTGTAAGCCAGGTTTGGTGGTGGCAAGGCTTTAATCCCAGACCAGAGGCACAGGCAGGCAGATCTCTGTGAGTTCAAGGACAGCCTGGTGTACATGGTGAGGATTAGGAGAGCCAGAGCTACACAATGAGACTTTGTAACAAAATAAATAGAGAACTGTAAAAAGAAGCAGAAGTGTATGCCATGAGAAAGAAAGTATCCTATCTCTGCCTGTGCTTTATAATCTTTCCATCCACTAAATACTTGTTGGTTCATTTGACCACAATATATTGGGAAGGCAGTAGGCCATGTTCACTATAGCAGAATCTGAGTCATGGAGAGGCAACAGCCCAGGCACAGGTCCCACAGCTAAGAAATGGAGACAGAGGATTTGGGCCCAAATTTCCTGGGCCTAATTGCTCTTAATCGGATTCTGTCCCTTCATCTCCCATGCAAAAACATATGATGTTTGTTATGGAGGCGGTCTGAGCTGGGGAACAGTCTAACAAGGATTTGGTGAAATTATGGACTGAGGAAGGAAGCATCCACCCTAAGAGCATCCGTGAGTGTTCTCAAACAAGCCCACAGATGGAGCTGATCCCGGACCTGACCCAGTTATGGTAGTGGTCCTGAAGGGAGGCAGGTGCAGGGAGGGGGGCATCACCTCATCGCAGGTGTCTGCTGAACCTCCATCGGCCAGGTATTTGTCAATGACTTTCACTTTCCCTTCTACTGCAGCCTTCAGGAACATCTCCTCATCCACAGGGCCGGTCTACGGGAAGAGCATCCACCCACAGAGAATAGTAGAGAGCTTTGAGGACTCTCAGGCTTCCCCTGCCCACATTTGTCCATCCCAGGACCCTTACGATCTCCTCTGGCTCTGGAGGTGGCTCCTGGGCGGCAGCCAGTGCATCTCGCTTCTTCTGCTTGCGTTTTTTCCTCAGTTCTATGAGGTTCTGGATCCCACCCACGTCAATGATCTCACGCCGCAGGTCCAGGGATGTCTTGCGTACACGCTCTTGGCCCTGCACGGGGATGGCTCATCACCTCCACACTGGGGCACAGAGTGTGGGGAAGTTGGATAGTACAGGAGCTGAGCTGGCAGCTGGTTGAGACAGGTAGGTGGTTGAGCCACCCTGTCGTTCGTTCCCCCACTTACCTTAACCTTTTGTAAAGCAGGGCTCTGCATCCCAAGGCGCTTTTCATCCTCTAGAACCAGCATGTCCATGGACAACTTCCCAGGGGTGACTCTTCGAAGTTTCTGGGAAGCCATTGAAAGAAAGCTACCTAAGATTATTTGGTGACAGCTATATTGGTGTGGTTCTCAGCCAAATGGAAGATTATGAGAATTTTTTGTCAGGGTGTGTTAATTCACACCTACAATCTCAGCACTCAGGAGAGTGAAGCAGGAGGATTACTGCACTGAAGGGCCAATCTAGTCCACATAGTAAATTTCAGACCAGCTGGAGCAACATAGTGAGACCCTGTTTCAAAACCCAAAACAAAACCACCGCAAAAAAAACTCTAGAGTACTTAAGTCTTTTGTATAAAATGTCAGATTTCTTTGCAACCTACACACAAATAGTCCTGTTTCCTCTTTTTTTTTTCTTTTTGAGACAGGGTTTCTCTGTGTAGCCCTGACTATCCAGGAACTCATTCTATTGACCAGGCTGTCCTCAAACTCAGAGATCTGCCTGCCTCTGCCTCCCAAGTGCTGAGATTAAAAGCATGTACCACCACCAGCCACCATTTATATTTTTAATCTTAATATTATGTACAGTGACTAATATAATTTGAATGTTGCATAGTTGTTTTTATTGTTTGGGGGATAAAGACAAGAGGAAAATCTGTTCATGTTCATTACAAACACAGAATTTGCCGGGCAGTGGTGGTACACGCCTTTAATTCCAGTACTTGGGAGGCAGAGGCAGGCAGATCTTTGTGAGTTTGAGGCCAGCCTGGTCTACAGAGTTAGTTCCAGGACAACTATGGGCTAGGGCTGTTACACAAAGGAAACCCTGTCTTGAAAAAACAAACAAACAAACAAACAAACAAACAATACAGAATTTAAAATTTTCCTAAGAACTAGACAGATGGCTCAGGTGTTAAAAGCACCAGCTGCTCTTCCAGAGGACCTGGGTTTGCTTCCCAGCACTCACATGACAGCTAAACAATCATCTGTAATCCCGGTTCTAGGGAATCCAATTCCCTCTTCTGTCCTCTACAGGTACCAGACATGCAATGCGTGTGGTGCAAGACATATGGAGAAAAATAATCACACACATGAAGTTAAAATGTAACGAAGTTCCCACGTATGACTGTTTGAGTCCAGAGAAGTAGAACCCAAGGATACAGGGGTTTAATCAGAAAAACTTCCTTTTAGTGAGGTAACTGTGATCAGAGATGGCAGGTTTTGTCCCCCTACCTCCTTCCTGGTATTGAACCTAGGCCTTGCACAGGCTAGGGAAGAGCTCTACCACTGAGCTCCAGCCTCCAGCCTCATCATCTCTTCCCTCTTGCAACAGCCCTTTGGCAATATGAAAGCCTGCCAGTTCTATGGCAGACACTGCATTTTCTCAGCAGTGCTCAGCCCTGGGAAATCTGGAGCTCGGAGGAACAGCAGCACTTAGCTTTCATGGTCTTGTGGTCAGGGTCTGATGAGCCTCCTCTCTCCACCTGAAGCTCTGGTTTCCCCAGACCGCTTCTCCACTCTTAGTGACCTTCTGGCACCCATTCCCAGGGGCTCTCAAGCAGCTCAGGTAGTTGTGAACCTAGAAATATGTGCCCAGGATGAGGGTAACAAGGCAAGAGGTCGACTGGGGAGAACTTGCCCTCCATGTAGCCCAGGCACCTTGTTCATTCCCCACGGAGCCCTGGGGCTAGCCTCTCTCAGAGAGGGTTCGAGGTTTTATTTCTGATGCCTCCCAATTAATTTTTTTGTAGCACCGAGCATGAAACTTAGGGCTTCACATGCCAGCTGAATGTTCTACCAACTGAGCTACAGTCCCTTCTCTCCTCTGTGCTTGTTTGGAAGGAATCCTGGACTGCCTTTCTTGCCAGATTATGGCTATACAATCTTCCAGATTTATATGATTCTATGATTTAGGTTTCCCTGTGTTGGTGTCACCTAAAATAATACACCTTCTGCCAGGAAAAAAAAGATATGACCTCGGGCTAAAACTACTGTGTTTGTGGGACCCTGGCTTGATGATTGAGGAAGTATACAGAGGGAAGACTTAATCACCTGCTATCTCCAGCCTTCACTGTGACAGGGCCTGGCAGGTAGTGGCTGCTCACCTAGTACTTGTTAAATGAGCAGACGATGAATGAATGGATGGATGGATGGATGGATGGATGGATGGATGGATGGATGGATGGATGATGGCATGAAGACCATGTATCTCTGGTGTCCTGTAGTTCTGGGTAAGGATGACCTTACCTGGTAAGCTGCATCCCGAGGCCTCTGTGCCTCCTGCTCCTACCAACATAAGGGGCCACAGACTGCTGGAGGCTCCCAGTAAGGCAGGAGGAATTTATAGATTCTAGGGCCACCCATTTCTTATTTGGACTCCCTTTGGATTTGTATTTATGGGCTGTCAGAGTCTGCACTAAATGTTTGTGAAACTGGATGCAGGTTTGTGACTCACAATGAAACTCCCAGCTGATTCCCCAGTCCACAGTCAGATTAGAGAGAATGCTTGCAAAGTGCTCAGCCAAGTGGCTTGCTGTGGCTGCTCACCTAGTGCTTGTGAAATAAACAGCAACCAATGCTGACATGCAGAAGAGCTGGGTGAGAAGGCTGGCTCTGTGGGCACCTGTGTCCTTGCAGCCCTGTGGCTATATTTGTTGGGGGAATAGATGGGAGAGGACTGTTCTGTGTACCCTGTAGGAGTTTCCAGTGTATCGTGGCAGTACTCCAGAAGTGACACAGCAGGATGACTCTCCCGCCTGGCAGCAACAGCCATAAATGCCTGCTGGGGCAGCGGGGGTGGGGGTGAGATTCCTGGAGATCCAGGGATGCCCAGGTGCTGTCCACACTCCTCTTTGATAAATCTGACTCATCTCTTCTCTTAAATGACCACTGCCTCTAAGCCGAGTTCCTGCAGCTGCCCCCTGCAACCACCCATCGCAAAAATATATTCTTTTAGCAACATCAGAACTGTCTGTCTCGGATACAAGTCAGAGGACACAACTCTCCCTCACTCTGTGACACTCCCCACAACCCACAGAACACACTCCTCTTACCTGGTCGTCTCTAGTTTGTCCCTTGACTCCTTTACAGCCTAAGCACTTCACACACTCTCACGCCCGCCATACCTTCGCCATGCAGACTTCAGTTCCTGTCTTTTTCTTTAGCCTGAAATATTCTCACCACATCCTGACTGCACTTAGCACTCCTAAAGGCCCAGCTCACTTCCCATCCTCAGAGTAGTAGCAGAGGGCTTGAATGACACCCATTCTGCCCATCACAATGATCCACTTTCTATTTGACCATTTCTGCCCTCTGCCACCTTCTTACTTGACTATGTAAATAAGAAGTGTTAACTGGACGGTGGGGGCACAGGCCTTTAATCCCAGCACTCAGGAGTCAGAGGCAGGTGGATCACAATGAGTTCAAGGTCAGTCTGGTCGGCATAGTGGAATTTCAGGACAGGCTCTAAAGCTACACAAAGAAAACCTGTCTTGAAAAACAAAAACAACAAAACAAACTCCAAGCAAGTAAGTGTTGGTTAAAATTAATGCCCACCTTTCCCCTATGCAAGAACTCTAGGTTCTTTTGGGGTGTGGCGAGGATAAACTCACAGTGTTTATACATTATGGGTATGTACCACCACACCTGGCGCAACTGTTTAGAATAGAATTTAGAGCAGGACAAGTCAGTACTCCAGCCCCGCTTACTTATCCTAGAAAAAATGCACCCGTGCCTTAGGTCTCTGTAAACACTGCCCACAGTCCTGGATAAGTACCAGCTGGTCTTCCCCATCTCTCTTCCCTACTCTTATCAGCTTATTCTCCTGTAGCAACTAAACCGTGGAGATGATCCTCCAGGGGGCAATTGGGGTGTGTGTGCCTCAGGACCTTCCTGGCTTTTCCTGTACAGTCCAGTCTATCTCCTGAAGCCCAGGTGAATTGGGCAGGGTCTTGGGAAGGTCTGCCACCTCCAAGCCCCATCTCTCCCCACCCACAACCCCGTCAGGATCATCCTGGTGTGGAAATAGGCGGGGGGGGGGGGGCAGGAAATACCTGTTCAGCATGTTGTGTACCCACATAGCAGTCAGTCTTTCCCTTCCCACGGCAGAACAGGTGAACTCCTTAACCTGGAGCCCCCTCCCTTCACTGGGGCTCCCTTCACCTCCGCTCTCACCTCAGTTTCTTCCTCCTGGGCAAGCCGCTGCTCGATGAGCTCTGTGGCCCTCTGCACAGCCTCAGGACCCTCCATGGCGCCCTCCATGTCTGCCTTAGCAAGCCACAGGACATAGGGTCTTTATAGGCCAGAGCACCCACCCCGCCCACTGGGTGCCTTTGTCATGAGCTCACAGGCTCAATTCTCCACCTGCCTCCCCCACCTGTCACCTTCACCTCGTACAGCCCCAGGGTGCATGTCCAGGCCAGGGAAGTTACCCCTCCCCTAACCTATGGCCTACTGGAGCCAGAAGGCACAGCGCCCCAAGAGGACAGCTGCAGGAAGGGGTCCAGTGTGTCCTCGGTGCTGGTAACTGCTAAGTCTGCACAAAGGACCAACATGCTGCCACTGGCCTGGGTAGCAGTGCCACCTGCTGGATACCAAGAAATTCTATCCAGGTAGTGCCTGATAGGGGGCCTGAAAAATCGAATATGAGCCCCAACAGACCTGTGTTTCTAGGGACTTTGGGGACCTTCTCGAGGCAGGAGTCGGAGCAGCTGTTACCCTCTGGTGGTAGCACACCCTACTGAAGCATGGCTATGCTGAATGGCATGTCCATTAGCCATAACCAGACCCTATCCATTTGTTTGCCTCCTCTTCTCGGAGCCCTCAGCAGAATTTACAATATTGCTTTAAGGGAAGAGTCTTGGGAAGCCAGCGTGCAGAGCCAAGGCCAGCTGAGGAGGAGACTAGACAATGCCAGGCTGCCTTGGGCGAAGCTGGCCATACTCTCTGAGAACAAAGAGTACATGGAGTAAAGGCAGACCTCCACTCACTGAGCTCCACACCTGGGACTTGCAGCCTGAAGTCCCGGGTCACGGTGACCCAGGTTTAACCTGCCAGTGGACTCCGGTGCCCCAGCTTTGCACTTCTACAACCACAAGTGATGCCCCGGGGACCCTTAGCTGAGATTCCCTTCTGGTGATGCACACAGTTCCCCAGAGGAAAGAGAGGAACTGACCCCACTGGTCTCTGGCTCACACACTTCTGAAAGCTTTGCTCTGACACAGCATGGGCGCTGTAGGGCAGCAGACACAGAGCTCATGCTGCCTTCTGTGACGCTTCCTTTCCTCTTTCACATGTGCCTCCCACTTAACCATCCCAGCAACTGCTGCAGGAGGCAGGGCAGGTGGTGCTACCTCCACTTTAGAGAAAAGTAAAATGTATTTGGAGGTAAAGTGACTTTTTCCAGGACCCACGGGAACACAGACGGGTTGGATGAGATCACGGCCCACAAGAGTAGCTCAGGTTGGATGCTCTACTGTGCCTATAGGTTCCCAAACCAGCAGGAGCTCTGGGCTCCACCATGCTGTGGACTGCAAGTCAAGGGCTAGGCAAGAGAGGAGCAAAAGGCTTTATTGATAAAATACAGATATGTCTGTACACAGGGCCCTACTGGGGCCAGGACCAGGATGCAGACCCCACCCTGCCTGGGTGACAGTTGGGGATGGCCCTGTGCAGACCCCTGCCATAAAGCCTGGCTACCTGGCCACCTGCCTCATCTCTGCCGATTGTGCTGGGTTCAGGGAGAGGCAGAGAGGCCCGCCTCAAGCTCTCCAAGCCCTGGGGCTCACTGGTGATTTCCTCCCCTCCAGGGGACTGGCACTATGCCCAGGGCAGAGTCATGGGAAGGGATAAGGGAGGTAGGGGAGAGACAGCAATTGCTTCCAACCCTGAGCAGAAAACTGGAGTGAGCACAGTGGTGGCACCAGATGATGGATCTGGGTTCCAAGGTCTCAGGCTGGCCCCCATGGCTCCAACCTATGGTGGAGAATGCCAGGTGCCTTTTCTCTGACAAGGTTGGCAAGGCCTGTGTGTGACAGGCAGCACTGCTCCCTGGGTGTCAAGCACTGGTGGACCCAGTGCCCTGGAAGGCAAGTCCCTTCACAGCTCACTAAGAGCCATACCGCAGGGTGGCAGGAGGCGCCCCTGAAGAAGACAACAGCACTGGAAGGCAGCAACAGGCGGGGAACTTTGTGCTCCAGGCCTAAGCCCCATAGCCTGCAGGGGACCTCCATGGCCTCTCTTCCCAGGAGTCAGCAGCCTGTCAGTCCTGGGGTGGTGGGGGCTGGTTGATGATGACCTGAATGACAAAGTCTTTTTGAATTTTGGTTTCCTGGAGCCGTGTGCGGTCTGTAAGCAGCTTCCCGGAGAAGAACCATCTCTGCCAGGATGGCTCGATGCCCTCCTGGCTGTGCAGCTGCCTTTTGAGCTGCCCCACTGTGTCGGGCAGGCTGGCACTGAGCCTCACGTCCTTGCCTGTGGAGAGGCGCACTTTCAGTGGGAATTCACGGCGCACACTAGGGGTGGGCTCAGGGGGCTCCAGGCTCTCCTCCTCTGTGTGCTCCAACAGCAGGTTCACAGGTGGTGACAGGCAATAGACGGGCAGCTGGTAGCGGTTGCCCAGCTCATCATAGCATTCACAAAGGGTTCCTGTGGGAAAGGCAGGGCAATCAGTGTAGTGTGGGACCTGCTGTCATGCACTGAATACTGTGTCCCCAAATTTCTATGATGAAGCATATTTGGAAGTAATAGTTATATGAGTAAATGATAAAGTGGGATAACCTGATGGAATAAGTTTTCTTACAAGGAAAGGCCCCAAAGAACTCTCCCCATCCCCTCTCTCTGCCTGTCTGCCTGTCTACCATGTGAGAATAGCAAAGAGGCGAGAACTCTCATCGGGACCAAATGGCTGTCACTTTTTTCTTGTATTTTCCAGCTTCTAGAATTGTGAGAAACAGATTTCTAGTGTTTAAGGAACCCGTGTGTGGCACGCTGTTACAGCAGCATAAGCAGATTAACTCACCCTGCGGCTACCTCACAGTCCCAGCCTCATCTAGGACATCCTTATGGGCAGAAGAACACAGGGCTGGCTCCATCAGCCATGGCATGTTACTTTTCACTTGTTTACTCAACATTTTGGTTGAGTACACATGCTAGGTGCTGGGCTGAGCCCCAATTTCCTTACTGGTATAATGTAATGCAAGTGAGAATGCATTTACTGAGTACTGAGCATCCTCTAAGTGCTGGTACTGGACTACGTGATATTATGTACATCCTCATCAATCCTTTGTCGTCGCAAGGGTCAGGTTTTAACGTGAGACATGCCCTGTTCAGGGTCGCACAGCTAGGAGAGGTCACAAGCTGGGAAAGGAACAGTCAGGACCTAGGTCTGTGACTGGAGCTCTGCTATTGCTTTCCTTTAGCTGCCTAACAACGGTGCTCTGAGACCCTAAGTACCTCCAGCAAGTTTTTAGCTTGTAGTTTTTAATACTTTATTTTTATGTATTTGCATTAGTGACTTCCTACATGTATGTCTGTGTGAGAGTGTCAGATCTTAGAGTTACAGACAGATGTTAGCTGCCATGTGAGTTCTGGGAATTGAACCTGAGTCCTCTGGAAGAGCAATCAGTGCCCTTAACCACTTGAGTCATCTCTCCAGCCCAACTTGTAGGTTTTATTGGTGTCTTTCTGTCTTCTCATTAGGCAAAGGGGGATCCTGTCCCTTCCTCCTACTCCTCCCCCCTTCCCTCTCTCCTTCCTTCCTTGACAGTCTCATATAACACAGACTGGCCTTCAACTTGAACTTCAGATCCTCCTGTGTCTACCTCTCATGTGCTTGTATCACTGGCATGTGCTACCATACCTGGTTTTATGTCTTGTGCTTCTCTGTTCATGCCAGAAAGAGTTGTTTAAATGAATAAGATATATATACATATATACATATTTCTCCATCCCCACCAGTTTAAACAGAAACTACTGACACGTAGTGACCTTCCTCCACCTCTGTGCTATGAACCCTGACACCCCCTGCCCCTGCAAGGATACAGTCTGGGACCTGCCTGCTTACCATGAGGCAAGGTGATGCTGGCTCCATCCAGTATGGCCTGAGCCAGCTCATGGTCGTTAGCTTCAGCAGCATAGGCGGCAGCCTTGAGGGCATCCCAGATCTCTTTGCGGCCCTCAAAGGCAGGAGCTGTGTCCCAGAACTCATCTCGCTTGCTCCGCAGTTGCCCATCAGTCATGGGGTAGTCACTCTTCCACTTGGGTCGCTCCTTCTTCAAGGGCTCATTTCGACCTGGGAAGACAGACACAGAGGCTCAGCATCTCTGAAGCCACTTAAGCTGTAATTTGCCCTCTCATAGTCCCTGGCCTATCAGGCACTTTATTGCACTGCTTCCTACGTATTTAGGGCACTGGGACACTTTCTTAATAGCAAGTATGAGTCTGGAAACCCAAGTTAGGGATACAAAATAAAATTTTCAGCCAAGTATGTTCTTGTCTCTTTTACTTATTTTTATTATTTATGTGCGTACCCAAGGAAACCAGCAGAGAATGTTAAATCTCCTGAAACTGAAGTTATGGATGGCTGTGAGCTGCCACATGGGAACCTGAACTGAACCTGAGTCTTCTGTTAGAGCAGCAAGTACCACTAAGCCACCCTAGCTCCCAAGCCAAGCATGTTCTGTACAAATGTACTGTACCTCATTTTACAATGTACCTCTAAATCCATCATAAATTGAAATTATTCCGAGACAAAAATACGCAGAGTCTATAATCTACAGACCATTACAGCTTAGCAACACAGTCCAGACTGAGTGTTAGCTGCTTCCACAGTGGTGAGGACAGCTGCTACCCAGGATGGGGAGGTATGGACTGGCCATTGCTAGCAAAGGAAAAGATCAAAACTAAAAGACCAGGTATGGTTTCTCCTGATTGTCTACATCTTCTAAAATCAAAAGACGAGAGGACTAGGTGAGTAAAGGCACTTGCTGCTAAGGTCCTGACCTGAGTTTGTTCCCTGGGCCCCATGAGGTGGAAAGAAAGAATCATCTCCTACAAATTGTCCTCTGGCCGGGTGGTGGTGGTGCACGCCTTTAATCCTAGCACTCGGGAGGCAGAGGCTGGTGGATCTCTGTGAGTTCGAGGCTAGCCTGGTCTACAAGAGCTAGTTCCAGGACAGGGTCCAAAGCTACAGAGAAACCCTGTCTTGAAAAAGCACAAACAAAAAACAAAAAACCCAAAACAAAAAACAACCAAACAACAAAATTGTCCTCTGATTTTCAAGTAGGTGTGGGTGTTGGCACTCATGCACATGTGCGCGCGCGCACACACACACATACACACACACACACACGTCAGAAAGAAGATAACTGGATTTACAAGTGGTTGTAAGCCACCACAAGAGTACTGGTCCCCTGAAAGAGCACCAGCAATTTCTTTCTTTTTTTTAAGTTTCTCAAGACAGAGTTTCTTTCTCTGTGTAGCTCTGGCTATCCTGAAATTTACTTTGCAGACCAGGTTGACCTTGAACTCACAGAGATCCGCCCGCCTCTGTTTCCTGAGTGCTGAGATTAAAGGCGTGTGCCACCATAACTTGGCAACGTTGTAATATTTAAGGAAAGGGAGAAAGAAAAAGAAAAACAATAAGAAGATCTTAAGTTAGAGACTATCTGCACAACCTCTGCTGCTGTTAAAGGTTGTTTGTCAAGATGTCCCATTGCTGACCTGGAATTTATAATCTTCCTGCTTCAGCTTTCTGAATTCTAGGATTATGAACATGTATCACTACCTCTAATGGTGTTATTGGGCATTTTTATCTTGTTCTTTGATTATAAATAAGTATATGGGGGCTGGAGAGATGGTTCAGAAGTTAAGAGTACTGATTGCTCTTCCAGAGGACCTGGGTTCAATTCCCAGCACCCACATGGCAGCTCACAACTGTCTGTAATTCCAGTTCCAAGGAACCCAACACCTATGGCAAAACACCAATGTACATAAAACAACAAAAAAGAAGTATATGTTTAGCATAACAGAAATCTGGAAATAATACATATATGTAAAAATAACAAACTAAGACAGCAAGACCAGGCAGATTAATAAGGGAAGCATACTGTATGCTGGTGGCTATGTTCCATGGCGGCCAGGAGGTCCTTTGTGGTTGAACATCCTTGAAGCAGTGGTTAGGCTCTTCCCACTAGATCAGAAACTATGGTGAAAGTGGACTTTCCCAGCTGACACGCTTGTGCACCAATGACAGGTCTGTAGCCTCAAAGTAGCCCAGCTTCATTATAAAACAACTGGATTGTGATTATAAACCCTCTTTTAAGGTCTTTTTTTTCCCCCAAGACAGGGTTTCTCTGTAGCTTTGGAGCCTGTCCTGAAACTAGCTCTTGTAGACCCGCCTGCCTCTGCCTCCCAAGTGCTGGGATTA